GTTGGGCAAAACTCAGACGGCTGAGGCGGCGGGGTCGGGGACCAGGAATCTGACGATAGCCGCTGATGCGCGGGCGTTATGTGGGTTGACGTCGGCCGCACCACCCGTGAGTTGGTGTAAGGGTTGCCCGAGGCCCCTGGCAGTGCGATTGGCAACGCGCGCTGTGCCTGGAGCCAGTGCTTGGGTACATAGTAGTGCATTTTGTACCTGGACCGTTCCCGATTCGGTACTGGCCCCCTTCGCGACAGGAACAGGGGCCGGACACGGGCGCGGGACAAGCATGCAAGCCTCACAATGCAACTGGGTCGAGCAAAGCTTGTGAGTAAAAAAACAAAACCAAAAAAAACCAATGCCTCCAGCTGGTGCTGCTGACCCGATGCAGAATGTGATGGCACGGATAATGTACAATATTACTACTATGTACATCGTACTTGCATTGAGCGGTGAGTTCATGGGAGGAAAGAGGGGGCGGCGGGAAGGGGTCATTCTTTTTGGAGCTATCCTTCATTTACTAAATGACATTGCCCGGTTGGCCCGATTACCCAAGTATCAGGCAAGTGGAAAAGTCGATTTCTCCCCCGAGCAATCTGGAACTCTTGGTCCGCCGGCCTGGACTCTACTCGGCCCCATCCATCATTAGCGTACATAGTTGTATACTATATACATTATGGACCCCTAGACGACTGCTGTCTATGGCCTTCTTCAGCTACCTAGGTAATGAATTGTACCCATGGTTCCTTTAACCCTCAATGGCCTGCTTCCTGTCATGATTCTGTCATGGACATGCCTTACTAAACTTACAAAGTATGGACGATGTAGCCGGGGAATCTGAACCGACATCTCTGCTGATCCTCGCCTTAGCAGAGGCACAAGGCGTTTGCTTGCCATGCCAATCATTGACTCCTTCCAAAACTCCCCGTAAAGCTCACCTAACCCAGCCTTGTTCCCCAACCTCTCTCACCGGCGTCCACGACCCAAGTGGCATATGTACTTGTATATATCTTTCGGGCATCGACAGTCACACCGAGAAGCAGTCAGCACCGTCACCCAGAACGGCGTAAAACATCCAACTAATGGGCTTCCGTCTGCAAGATGCCATGCGTCTCGTGGTCCACTATCGTGGTTCCCTCGGGCATCAAGACTCACGCTGCTCCCCGTCGTCAGCTCAGTGTCTTAATGTCTCCTGCTACGTCCTGCAACCAAGAGCACCAAAAACAAGGGGGGGAAAGCTTTCCATGAGTGCACGGCAGTTGCCGTTGGTTGAGCACCCACATCACACCAACGAATCGGCCAATTGCAGAACCCCTCACCCCGCTCCCACCCCTCCAGCCTTTCACAACCCCTCCGGATCGTAGGTTGCAATTTTTTGGAACACTAAAATTCTGCCAAACCCCGGTGAGGCACAACCCCAAGTAAGTTTCTTCGTGTTACGATAGTGACGGCGCACAAACAGGCGCAAGACAACCTTTGTTAGACCGAGAGAGACACGAAGGTCCGAGGGGCTGAAAACTGCGAGGCTCTGTGAAACATCTTGGGATAACTACGTTGCCGCCTCCCCGACTACCCCTCCATCCAAGCCTCTCTTGTAGTCGCATCTTACAGCTATGGCACCCATGGACGCTAGCGAGCACTGCCGCCTCGTGGTCCTCTGCTCCGGCTCGGGTACGAATCTGCAGGCCATCATTGACGCCATCGCAGCCGGCACGATCCCCGACAGCAAGATCGAGAGGGTTGTCGTTAACAGGAAGAACGCATTCGCGGTCCAGAGGGCCGAGAAGGCCGGCATCCCCACCAAGTATTTCAATCAAGTCTCCGGGGGCTTCACGCAAAAGGGCGAGAAGGACGAGACCAAACTGAAGGAGGGCCGCGCTCGCTACGACGCCGCCTTGGCCGAGGTTGTTCTGCAGGACAAGCCGGACCTCGTCATCCTGGCTGGGTGGATGGCCATTTTCACATCGAGCTTCCTGCGGCCTCTCGATGCTGCCGGAGTTCCTGTCATCAACCTGCATCCCGCGTTGCCCGGTATGTTGCTCCACGTCCGCCTCCGGCGCAGGACGCCGTGTCGGCGGTGATGGTAATACAGGACCGTTTGCTGACAACTGCCGTTAGGTGCTTACGACGGTGCCAATGCCATTGGCAGGGCATACGACGACTTCAAGGCCGGCAAGCTGAAGAACAACCGAACCGGGGCCATGATTCACTACGTCATTGAGGCCGTAGACAGAGGAGAGCCTGTTAGTCTTGCCCGACATGTCTTGTGCTTGTGCAGTGGCTGACGCTTCTATCAGATTCTGGTCGAGGAGGTTGAGGTCCGCGAAGATGATAGTCTGGCAGACCTGGAAGAACGCATGCACAGCATTGAGCACCAGATCATCGTTAAAGCCACGGCCAAGGTCGTGCAGGAGATACTGGCCAAGAAGCAGCAGCACCGATGGCAGCAATTGGCCGAGTCAAAGAGCCTGTAGGCAAGAGAACCGCATGCCACCGGCTTTGCGGGGACTCGGTGTAACCGAGCCCCGGCTTTCCGGCTCAATTCACTTGAGCTCCTCTTAATTTGTCCGAGGTTCTTGAAAGGCATTGCCAGGGCTCGCCTCCTCAGCGTAGCCTTCGTTTCCTTCGAGGCCTGCACTCCGACAGTGAAGGACAAGATAGCGACAACCCGTATGGGTTTGGGTGTTACATGTCGTTGTTGGCTCTCACCAGAAACTAGGAACTGTTGGCATCGGCGCACCAGTGCAGGAGGCCCGCAACTCCCTCACCCTCGACGTGTTGTCCACGACGATGTGGGCGACTTTTTGAGTTCGGAGACCAGACGAACGGGAAGATAGTTGCATAACCTGCCTTGGGTTTGAAGGCAGCCTCTGGTGTCGGAGAAACCTATAGAGCCAGAGCCTAGAGGTTACAGTGATACACTGGCATTTCATATAAGAAGAGCCTTGCCTCGATCGGCTCAAATTCTGTCAAATTTCTGACTCGCAACTTAGCGGGCAGCACCCGGCATGGCAGCCAGTCATTGATTTATGCAATCGGCAAACCTCCCATTGTACCGGAGAGATTGGGAAACAAGACCCGATATGAGTAGGGGCATGGCCAGACAAGGTGGGCTAGAAACCGCCAAGACCTGCTGTCAAGCAGTTGAGGCTCTGGTTGGACCGCGACAAGGGAGCCACAGCCAAAAGCGCCAGAACATTAGCCAATGGCAGGCAGAGACAGACTGCCTAAGAAGGAATCGAGCAGTTGGAGAGTTGAACAAGGGGGGTTCCGACTTCCTTTTTCCATTCATACAACAGCAACATGTCCTCGAAGCAACCATCGTTGCCGTCCCCTCGTGTGAACCAGAGCCGATTGCCTACTACCTAGGTTACCATCGAGGCCCGGATTGGGCAGGTTTCAGGTATGCAAAAACGCCAAGCCCGCGTGGCAAGCACAAATCGGAAGATCACCTCATTATGTTATGCCAACTCGCAGCCTTCAATGCCGGAGTTGAGACGGGCGGCTCCTGTCACTCGAGACCCTGCAGATGCGTGATTGTCGCTTTCGAAATTCGAGCCGGAGGTGCTGCGCCTCGGACGAGTCTCAAAAGGCTGGAGGACAGGCGCCATGGTAAGAGAAGGCAAACAGTTGTTGTTTGACCCAACCTTGGCTCGAGTAGAGCTTCCTCCTTTGGATGCTGGTACCTAGCCCGCTGCGGGGAACTTAGTCAGTTTCGCTGCAAGACATTAGATGGAGGGTTACGAATTAGCGCCACACAAGGACAAGGCAAGTCTTGTCGGGAGTGGCAATGTCCAATTCAGGGACCCTTCTTCCCCCCCCCTCGTCTTCAGACACGGTTAAAATTGCAGCCGGGCACAATTAGAAATGGGCCCGGAAAGTAATGGTGCAGTGTGTGTGTGTGTGCGCGCGCGCGCAAGTGCGGGTAGTTGAGTTGGACAGAGAGAAGAAAAAGGCTCCGAGGCCGTGAGTTGCGATGAAGTCATGTACCCAGTCCTTCAGAGGCCAAAAAAAGAGGAAGTAAAAAGCCAGGTGCTCCTCACTGACTCTGCAACAGTCAAACACTCGAGGCTCAACACACAGCATATTCTTGGTCCAGGTCTTCGCCGTCGCCCACTCGGGACGGCAGAATGGAACAGATTTGCTCGCCAAGCCATGTGAGCAGTGCGGAGGGCCGACGCCGGCTCAGTGTGAATGGGGGCAGCTTGGGCACGAGGTAACTCCCCATTCCTATGTTTCTAGACGAAGCTGATGTGCTGATGTTGGACTGTGCAGAGTAGTAGAATAGACAAACGGGGGTTTTTTGTAATTTTTTCTTATATGTGTGTGTGTGTGTTGGGGGGGGGTGGTGTGGAGAGGATGGTCGAAACTGCCTTCCCCTGCGGTCCGCCCTATTTTCCATCTTCCTCGGTTAAGAGACTAAACAAAGTGCTAGGTAGGACCTTCTTGAGGACGTGATGGCAACGGATGGGATGGACAGGAAACACTGCACCCATGACGCGCCGGCCGCTTCAAACGCGAGTAGCCACTCCTCCGATACAGTATCCGGGCTACCAACGCCCGTGCCACTGCGTTCCCCCCCTCCTCGCCAAGAGTCTCCTCAACCGTATAATCCGAGCCCCAACGCAGGGGACTTAGGGAAGCTATAGGCGAAGGGGGACCATCCCCGGCTTTTGTCGCCTCAGACCCTCTCGGGTCCATTTTCCCTGTAACTACTACATAGGAGCTGTCTGCTTGTGCATATTAGCAAGACCAGGCTAGGGTGGCTCTGCACACTCACTGCATGAAGCTGTCTGCGCGCGCGCCGAGCCACGACAATATCAACCTCATCTATCTTGGCTTCTCCCTCGCATCGTGCCGGTTATTATTTTCTTTTCCCTCTTCCTCTTTTCTTTCTCTTCCTCAGTCCACACAATCTGTCCCTCCCTCGGTCGGACGTTGCTTCCCCCCAATACCCAATCCAGCCTATATCCGACCTCCGTCGTCCCTTTCAGTCCCTCTGGCCCAAGATGACCTTGCCGCAGGAACCTCACTATTCGAGCAGTCCTCGGGTAGGCTCTTTTAAGCGTCCCTCAGTGCTCAGTCCCGACACCGATCCGAATCCCTTCGCTACGAGAGGCAATGGCGCCTTGGTCTCGCTCATTCGAAACCGCTCCAATGTCACATTGCGCGAGTCTCTCAAGAGTCCCGCCTACCACCAGCTGGGACATGACGATGAAGAAGACCACGAGAATGCCTCACTGCTGGGCTTCCTGCATCACTCGGATGACGACCACCACCGATCCGCCGCCGAGGAGCGCCGCCTCAGCGAACTCATCTTCGGCCCTCAGATGAGGAGCATGCGCCTTATCGGAAACAGCAACCCGCGCTACCAGTGGGAGCGCTACTGGAAGACCGAAGCCGAGCTGGAGGCCATGCCAAAGCATATGTGAGTTTTGCCCCGTCGGCAAATCCTTCCTCAACCCTGCGCCACCAAGTGCTGGAGACGAGAGGTCCCAACTCGACTCGCATGGCCGACCAATCCGAGCTCTTGCAGTGAATGAACGGACCAGACATGCTGACGCCCATTTGCCAATCCCTTCAAGACGCGAATACTATAAGAGAAACAACGATCTGATTCGCATGTATCTCTACATTGACCAGCTGCTGGATTCATCCGTGCCCCACGACCTTCTCAACGAGTACCACCAAGCTCTCGACGCCTCGGCCTACCGTCCCGTCGACGTGCCCCAGACCATCACCGAGGAGTCTTCAACGCCATCTTCACCACCCTCGCGCGGCGCCCTCGCCTACGGCACAACCAGCAACCCTGCCTCGGTCCAGAACAGCAGCACGGAGCAGAATAGTTCGGCAAACAGCATACAGCAAAAGGCGAAGCGCAACCCCAAGGACATTTTTCGGTCCACCGAGTCCACCCCACTTCTCAACGGCGCAGATGAGGAGGAAGGTTTAGCCGATCAGCCCAAGCCCGAGATCCCTTGGCTCGAGGATGGCGACCTTGACAGTAGCGATCCCATCGTCACCCTCGCCATCTGGGTCAACTTTGTTGCCAACGCCGCCCTGCTCCTCGGAAAAATCCTCGTCGTCATTTCTGTCCCCTCCGTCTCCGTGCTTGCCAGCTTGGTCGACGCCCTCCTCGACTTCCTTAGCACCGCCATTGTATGGACTACAACCCGACTCATCGCCGCTAGCCAGAATGATCAGCACTCTTACCCCGTGGGTAGACGACGGTGAGCAACTAACCGGCCCCGCCCCACCGACTGGCTCTGTTTGTTGCATCCCGGGGAGACGCGATGTGCTGACTCGTCACAGTCTCGAGCCTCTTGGCGTGCTCGTCTTCTCCATCATCATGGTCACATCGTTTTGCCAGGTCGGCCTGGAGGCCATCAACCGTCTCATGTCCCCCGACCGTGAAATCGTCCAACTGTATGTCGCATTCGACGCTGTTGCTAACCGCTATTCTGATGCTGACCTGGGGGAAACAACAGAGGCATCCCTGCTATTTCCATCATGGTGGGCACCGTGGTCATCAAGGGTTTATGCTGGCTTTGGTGTCGTCTCATCAGGAACTCGAGCGTTCGTGCCTTGTAAGTAGTCCCGACCCCCTGCTCCTCTTTCACTGCAACTTCGTCGCCCCTCGTCGCAAAGCCTTTGCGTTACCGTCTTCTGATCGGCAATTACAATACGGCATCGGCGGATTTGGCTAATAAAACATTCTCCGCGCAGGGCCGACGATGCCATGACCGATGTCATCTTCAACACTGGCTCCATTCTGTTCCCCATCGTCGGCTATTTCGCCAGAATCTGGTGGCTCGACGCCCTCGGCGGTCTCCTTTTGTCGCTTGTTGTCGTTGTCAACTGGAGCCAGACCTCGGCGCACCACGTCCGAAACTTGACGGGTTTCTCGGCGACATCGGACGAGAGAAATCTCCGTAAGCGTAGCCATCTATTCCTTTTCGTTTTCCTGTTTGTTTCCCCTGCCGTTTCGCCTCTCCCCCACAATTCTTATAATTGGACCCCGTTATGCCGCACCCATGTCATGCCCTTGTTCTTGCTTGATCCTCAACCCAACGCGTACGACACCACCTTCGCCGCATCTGGGGCTTGTGGCCACACTCCTTCATGCTGCTCGTAACGCCAAGCAAGGGGACTTTGTAACTGACAATCCATGCTGCAACAGTGCTCTACCTCACCATGCGCTTCGCCACGTCCATCAGGCAGATCCAGAACCTCCGGGCCTATCATGCGGGCGACAAGCTCTTCGTCGAGGTCGACATCGTCCTTGACGCCAACATGCCGCTCAAGGACAGCCACGACCTGAGTGAGGTCCTGACCTACTTCCTCGAATCGGTGCCCATTGTCGACCGCGCCTTTGTGCATGTCGACTATGCGACGTACAACGTCGACACGCACATCAACCAATGACCCAATCATCCGTAGCGCATGGTACCACGGATGACCTGGACGGTCGCTCTCGCCAAAGCGAAATTTACCGCAGGTCTTGTAAATCCCAAGCCCCAATGATATTGCCTTCTTCCCCTTTCTTTTCAGTGACGGGAGAGCATTCGTACAGATAGATCTGTCGAAGCGGGGAGAAGCGCGGGCAACGGGACGGGACGCGGAAGCGGGAAGGGAATGGAAACAGAGGGTTACAAAATATATGTACAAACAAGGGGTGGAGAAACGGCATGGGCGGTTTACAAAAAAAAAAAAAAGGGTAGCATCGTTTCGGAGTGGATCTTGTAGTATTCCTCCAGCGGCCGGAGTTGAGATCTTTTTTTGTTAGCCAATAATTTCAGGATATCCGATTCGTTTATGCAGAGTAGCATGTCCCCCTCTTCCGTGCCAAAACGCGGGCTGAGGGGGGAGGCAGGAGAGGATCGACAGGGTCTCTCCCCGTTGTCGGGGTTTTTTTTTTTTGCCGGAGAACGGTAAATCAACACCCTCTACTTTTCAGTCATGAATCAACAAGAGACGAGGGGTTGACAAAAGGGCAGCAGAGAAGAACGGCGCAAGCCAAGAGAGGGAAGGAGTATATAAATTCTCCCATCCGTGGAATCATATTATTGGTTCTGCTCTATCAAAAAGGAGAAGGAGAAAAAGAGGGAAGAAGACTGCTTTCCTGAAGGGTATTTATCAATTGCACAGTCTTCATCGGGGTGGCGGCGGCGCAGATAGTACGATAGCGAACGCAATCGGAAAAGGATGAAGGATGGTCCTCCGTGGCAGATACAAGTAATAGCCGCGGGGGAAGTGGACGGAAACAAGACCTGAGGAACGACCTAAAGCAAGTGACGGAAAACAATAATGACCACCATCACCACCACCACCTCATTCTATCAAGTCTTGGGCCTGGATCAATAGGGAATACCGTTGGTCAGGAGCTGGAACTGATCGTACACGCCGGTCGAGTAGCTGTTGGCGCTCCTGCGGATGAGGTCCTTGACAAAGTCTGCTGCCTCACGCTCGCTACGGTCCAGCACAAAGCGCTCCTTGAAGTGCTGCACGCTCTCGGGCTTAAAGCATGGCAGACCCGAGTCCATCATGAGGAGTACGATCTGGCTGAGCTTCTCGCAGTGCTGCCGCGACGCGAGGAACGCCTTGACGCAGAGCTCCTCGAACCACTTGAAGGCCTGGTGGTGCGGGTTGCCGCCCATGACCGCCAGCATCTCCGTCGTCAGCTTGAACGGTGCGCGCTCGAACTTGATACCGCCAGGAGCGATGTCAAAGCAGAACCCGAAATCAATATGCAGAATGTGGCCCGCGTCGTCGATCATGATGTTGCCGTTGTGCCGGTCCTTGAATTGTAGTAGGAACGAGATGATGGAGTAGGCCGCCATGCTCTTGACGAAGTTGCTGCGTGCTTGCTGGAAGCGAAGTGAGTCTTCGTTACCGTACTTGGAAATGAAATAGTCGTAGAGGCCATTTACGGCCTCACGGCCTAGCATATCTCTCGAAACCGAGTTGGGCAGCACGTCAATGACACCACACCCGGGGGCAGTGGCCGTGACGCGGTACGGGTTGACATAGACGTCCAGACCGACGTTGTGGAAGATGCCGCGGAATGCCGCAATCATCTGCAGGGCAAGCACGTCTTGTCTGCAATCATCACCTACTTTGAAAATGGCCGACTGCCACACCTCAATGGTGTTCTCCGGCATGGGCGGCGAATCCTTCTTGTGCGCATCCTCGAGCATATCATTGACATCCTCAAGGCTGCCCTTGTTCTTCTTGATGCGGAATGTAGCCATGTATGGCGCCTTGGCGTGACTTTGCAAAGGCTTGCCGGACTTGCGGTCGATACCGATTACGACGCCATCGGGGTTACTTGGCAGGTAGACACCAATCTCCACCTTGATCTTGCGGAGTTCTTCCTCGATCTTCTGAGCCTTCTCCGGCTTAGACCGGCCGACGTATGGCTTTAGTTTACCCGAGATATCCGTGACCTCGTCAAAAAAGGCAAATTCGCGTTCGTAGAAGGTCCTATCCACCTCACTAAAGCTTGCAATCATCTTCTCCATGACCTTGTCCAGCGTGGGTTTGATGGCATCAGGCTGGCACACATTAGCATTAGCGTCGCACTTGGAGATGGGCTTCACTGAACATACGATGGTTGCGTCGTCATCCTTGTAGGCATTGGCCTTCATGTTCCAAATAATTTGGTGGGCAAACAGCTGCGAGAACTGAGCCGTCTCTAGGATGTACCGCTCTACGTAGCCCAGTGCGTCATACCGCAGCGTCTGCACGATTTGCGGAACGTAGAAGAAAGTCACATCGCTGGAGTGGCTCTCCAGAGCTCTCATCGCGTACTGCATTAGGAACGGATGATTACGGTAGGCAGGCAGGAAGTACGTGACAGCTGTGATAGGGTTCACGGGCGACCAGAACAACAGGTACTGCTGCGGTCAGTATCAGGCGGTAGCTAATCACAAGTGTAACTCACCTTCAGCTGGAAGCTGACGTCATTGGGCAAAGAGCCACCCAAGAGGATGGGCAGACCCTGTGGCTCAGAAATGGCCTTTTGCGGGAAGTTGATCAACAACCATCTCACCTCACGCTGAACTCGGGGATACGGGAACCTTGTGACGAGCTCAATGGCAATGGACGGGTCTTCGGCCCAGGCGACTCGGATGAGAGGCGAAAGAGCGGCCTGCAAACGTGAGTGACATATCTGAAAGAACAGTTTGAATACTTACCTCGATAGCAGTCTTGTTCGGTTGTCCGTGGGGTTTGGACTGCTCGCCGAGCGGGTGAACCCATACCGATAGACGTGCCTGCTCGCTCTCCAAGAGGAGAACAAGAAGCTGCTCCTTGGCCTGCAAAGATTTGATGGTGTCCGCAGCGTTGGCCCCAATGAACGCAACGTTCTTCAGTGCAGCCACCACATCGTTCAGCAGGCGGATTTCCGTCTTCAGCTGCAGGATGTTGCTGCCAAAGGACCATCTTGGTGCGAATCGGAACCAACTGAGCGCAGCCGATAGAATCTTCTCCTTGAATCGCCATTGCGCGATGGCGCCAATGGTCGTACACACATGCAGCACCTTCAGCCCAAACAACACGATCTGAAACCTCAGTTCTCGTGCCATCGGGTGCGGTGTCGATAAGCGCACAGCGTCCAAGGTGACATCGAGCATGCGCAGGAAGATCCGCTGAACATCCGGACTGCCCAAGCGAGTGGCGTTGAAGTGACTTGCAAAAAACTGCAGCAACCGTGTGTGTGGCGACAGCAGGTTGTGCACCTGCTGCTTGCGTTTGGCTAAAGCCTCTAGATCACTAGGTGCGAACTCCATCTTCAGAAAGAAGGGATCGGTGTGTCTGCATTTTTGTTAGCTGGCTCGGGCCAAGGTTCAAAAATAACTCACGACATGGCTTGGCTGAACAGCCCCAGGCCATTCTGAATGGACACTTCCCACTGCTGAGCAATCTCGGTGAGAAGCCTCGGCTCAAGCCGTGGGTTCTCGTTCATCACACCCAACCATAAGGAAACGCCCAGCTTGATGGACTGCTTCGTAAACATGGCGAATGGAATGGAGACTAGGTAGTGTGCGACGGCAGACTCGTCCCGGTCGCTGCGACACAGCAGGGCTGCTGCTCGGCGTAGGATTTCGCGAACCTCGGCGAGAGCTGTCATCTTCTTGCTCTTAATGCGGGCCTCAACATGTTCCAGAGCGGTGGCCGCGTTGGCGCTGTCGCTAGCAATCGAGGTTGATGACTTAACGAATGACGCTCTACGGTTCAGCTGCATGAAGTTCACCAATTCGTTGCCGCGTTCGGGCAGGGTCTCGCCGTATCGGTACTCTTGGCGAGTCGTGTATTGAGCAATGAAGTCGGAGCCGGTGTTAATGCTGCAGTCACCGACTCGGTCTAGAGACTGCAATCTCTGGTCTGCGGAGGGCATGAGAGAGCCAAGCTCAATGGCAAAAGAGCGGCCCAGGGAGATATGTCCGTACGCTCCTTCGTCGTCGAATTCGGACAAGTACGTCTGGAGAAGACCCTTGATGTCCAAGGGCGCCAGACTAATCACACTCGAGACCCATTGCTTGGCCCTACGGTTGAGGGCCTCCAAGGTATGACGACGAAAGCTGTAGTCATCTGAAAGTTCGACAGAAACATCTCCAAGTTCAGAAGTGAACTTTGATCGAGGTGCATAGAGATCAGTCTCTGCTTCCAGGCAACTCGACCACATCAGAGATAAGAGCTCCAACAGAGCAAAGAGCGAGGACCGGTGGCACAGAGCAGAGGGAACCTGGCTAATGATACGGTCGGCACACGTAAAGGCAGCTTGCTGGACGCGCTCGATTCGGTGACAACAGCCGCAGAAGATGGCGACGAGCTGACTCGCAGCGTACTGTGCAGAAAAGGTAGCATCTGTACCGCCCAAGGTCTTGCGCAAATACTTGTTCACCACTGCGGCGGCAATACCCTCCATAGTACTGCTGACTTCTCCTTTACGCATGCTGGGCTCCAAAAAATAGGAGAGCGCCTTGGTGCAATCGCCAGCATCGGCGCGCAAGCCCTCGACTAGATAAGCAGCATGCAAAAAGATGACCTTGCGGTAGCTCAGCCCCTTGATCTCTGTGGCCTTGTTGGGAATCAACTCGGTGAGATGCTTCTTCTGCATCGACTCTCTATCGGAAGACATGCCTCGACGCAGCACGGTGTTCAGCTCGATGTCACTCTCAATCTGCTCACCCCGCTGTTCTGCGACCAAAGGAGGTGAGTGCACAGCCATGATCCGAAGCTCGTCAAGGTATTTCTTGCCCATGTCAGTCTGTGTGGTAAACCCATGAACAACGATGTTGAACCAGGCGTCTCTAATCATGGAGTGCGACTCATCATCAGTCACTGAATTAAATGCCAAGTCGTTGGTCGACATGAAGACAGCCAGGGGATGCAGCAACTCGGCGATCTCACTCGCAGCCAGT